TTAGTTATTTATTTTCTATTGAAAAGTACTGTTATACAAACTTTTTATATAGATTTACAATAGAAAATTTAATTTGAATTAGAATAAGTCAAAATTTTTTGAGATCAAGTTTGTTACTAACTTTTACTGAAAGCTATTCTAATAATACCAGTATATAATACAAAGAAATTACATTAAATTTTTAGTATTTTAAACTAGTTTTTTAATTAAAAAGTTATAAAATGTTAGATATTAATTAGTTAATTAGTTTTATAAAAAAACTATAAAGTATCAACTCTTTCTGATGATTCCTTATACTAAAAACTCCTAACTTATTTTTTAAAAAATATACAATAAACTTTGTAGAAACATAAGAGAAACAATGCAGAGAAACATAAGACAGCATCTGTTATTTAGAAATAGTTTTCATATACTATCTACTAATAGGTTTAGAGTTTATCACTCACTGCAATATTATAGCAGTACTTGTTATTTAGAAGTAGTTCTTATATGCTACTTGCTGACAAGTTTAGAGTTTATTACTCACCTACAAAAGATAAGTACTGGTTACACTCTAGGTGAATATAAGTGGATAGTAGATTTTAAAAAATATATACTCTCTTTAAATTTTTTTAGTACTACTACTGTTTCCTTCTAGACTTTTGAATTTCTCTATACTGAAAAATAAAAAAGTGAAGGATTTGGTGAACTCCTAACAAAGGATCTGCAAGTTTGTACTACTTTCTAATTTAGCAAGTCATCTGTTGATATGCAACTTAGACAAGACAACAAATACATATATCACCATCACGTAGATGATCTAATTAGGATTTAACTTCTGAAGAAGTTTATTGCTAGAAATATGTGTTCTTGTTTTTGTATAGTATAATATTTTTATATTTTGTCATACTCTTTTTTTCTTTATGTTAATTAGAGTGTTTGTTTCTTTTTCTTTTTTCTTTACTTTTTTACTTGTAGAGGTTTTTTAATCTGGTAGCAGATTTTTCCCTTATATGCTTAGTTCATATAATTAGCTATATTTTATTATATGCAACAATTTTTATTTTTAACTTAGGACTAAGTATTAATAGTTTGTAATTTAGTTTCGATTAGATTAAAAGCAATCTAGGGCCTTGATAAGGTGTAAAAGAACCTATTATTGATTTGAAGAAACTATCTTACTTCAGTAGAACATCTTTTAGAGAGATAAATACTTTTTGCAGTAGATCATACCTAGATAGCGCAAGACAAGTCAAGTGAATTCGAGGTTGCAAGGGTGAAATACATTAGTAGTTTAGAATATTAGTTTTTTTCTTATTTTTATATTATGATTTATTTGTAAATCTTCTACTAATAAACCAAGATAAGGTCATCTAAGTTAAAAAAAAAAAAAAAACTATAAAGGGGTATCATGAGATAATGTAAAGTTAATCTTTAGTATTAACTAATCAAATTTTGTTATTTATAAAAAGTCAATCATTTTTTTAGCTAATAAAAACCAACTTTCATTATACTAGACCAGAAGTTTAAGTTCTTATTTAGATCATATTTGTATTTATCAGAATTATTTTAAAAGAACATTCTTCAAGAAATTGTCTAAAGTAGAATAGAATCATATGATATTATATTGATCAAATTATAGAATATTGACAATTCTGATGAGAAAAAAAAATAAAATATAAAAAAACAGTAGTCTGAACCTACTTAGATATATTAATTAAAAATATCGAGAAGATAATTTTGCTTATATAAAAATGAATTCTAATCTTAGTCTAACTATAATATAAGTGACTCTAACTCTAAAAATTAATTAATAAAGATTTACTTTGCTTTAAATATATACAAAATATAACAAAACCTTAAATATTAAAGATTGGAACTATCTAAAATCTTAGTTCAGCTGCTTTAAAATAAATTAATTCAATTCAGTACTATAAATAAACTTTTTATATAGTTAATCTGTTCCTCTCTAGTTACAAAGGCATAATGTAATTTTTGAACCAAGTAACCCAAATTCTAAATAATAAAACCAAGTTTAGTATAATACAAATTATTTTATTAATTCAAACTCATATAATTCATATTTGATTTTCAAAATAAAAATCTTACAACTATCTTTTAGAACAAATACATGTATTGTGTCCTTCTTTGTTACAAATACTATATTTTCTCTCTTTGCTTTTACTAGATTCACTAATATTTAAATCTGCATTTTGTAATATTTTTCAAGGTCTTCTGATCTTATTTCTTTGTTACCTTGATTATGCTCAGATATCTGCTTTCTTTTTCTCTTAATATCTAAGTTAATATTATTTGAACCTTTGAGCTAGCTCTTCATCCTAATACTTATAGGATTGCTAATAGTAAGTATGAACTTGACAATATTATCATCACTTTGTCTTAACTTAATTCATTTTCTATTTTATTTTCTATTTCACTAGCAAAGTTTTTATAAATTTTATAAAGTTCCTTTACTCTACTTATTGCAATAGTTAGATTTAATATTTTTTTAGAATACCAAATCCTTCTCCTTATTGTTGTTTTTAGTTATCTTTTTGTAAGTCTCAGCATAAAAATATGAGTTTCCCAGAGGCTTTCTAAGTATAAAAAATTAACATTGATACTATTATATTTGACTATACTAAATTTATCATATAGCATTACTAAAACTACTGGCTTAGCAAAAAAATTAGCTCCTAGTGCATATGAATTTTGATACTATTTTTATAGTATGAGTTCAATATAGAATTTAGTATTCAGAGATACAAGTATAGTGATGAAAAAATAATAGCATATAAGACTATGCTTTATTAATATTAGACATATACATAGATATTTAGTATCATCATATAATACAATAAAATATTTACTTTTCTTACTAATAGAGCAAATATGCTAAAGTTCCTAAATTTTTTTTTGTATTGAGGCCAGAGATCAGCTAGTCAAGTTCTATTAAGTAGGTATTAAACATATTCTTAGAAAATACACCTTTTGGTAAATCTGAATAATCTAAAAAAAGAGTATAATATAAGACTACTGCAAAGTACAAACTAAATACTTAATATTTGTAGTAGCTTATACTGAGATTTAGGTTTCTATTTAAATCTATAATATCTACTAAAATTCTCATATACTCTTTATTAGTAATGCTAATTCTAAACCTTAATCTAGCTATGAAAAAAAAAGCTACAAAATAGATCCTAAAAAATTTTACAATTTCTTAGCATAAGCAAATTTTAGCATAAGCTATTATATATACTTGTCATCTAAGTTCACAATACAAACTAGCTAATTAATACTGATAATGTATACTTTAGTTTATTTTATAATATTATAATTTAAGTATTACTAGTATTAAGTAATGTTGATATAATAAATCAACTTTTTAAAAGTAATAATCATGATAATCTTTATCTTAGCTTACAGACAGCTTACTAATAGCTTTATTATAACTAACAAACTAGCTTTCTTTTACTAACAAATTTTTAATTATATATTCAAGCTCCAAAAGTGATTAATTCCTATTAATATTGTTCTTAATAATTCTATTATAAGATTCAACATACTATATACTTTGTATTCTTATATTAAATACATGATGTGTAAAACACAGAACTCAGGCTTCCTAACTCTGATAAAGATGATATTGTATATAATTAGTAGTACTAGTATATTCATTTAATATCATAGTCTATCTTTTCTCAAAATTAATTCTATACAACTATTACATGTATAACAAAATGCTAAAAAAAATTTATACTACTTATTATCATCATATTTGCTCATAAAATATTTTTTTAAATTTTTCAGATATGAAATAGACAAAAGTAATACTTTGTTATCAGATAGGAAGTACTTATTATAGCAAGCATAGTGAAATCAGTATCAGTATAAAGCAAGCTTAGTGCTAATCCATTCATTGTATTAAAAAGACTAGTAAATAGCTATATAAAACTATTCTTGGTTTCATCAGAAAGAAGGGCTATAGTAGCAAGATGAGAATAGTTATAGTTATCTACAAGAATCACAATACATAAAATTATCGAATAATAGTTGGTTTTAGCTATTATATCAAAAAGAATAACATTATGAATACAAACTCAAAACCCTTGTTGAGATAGTCTCATCCAGCAAAGTCTCGTAAGATAATTATTCTAACCTTCAAATCAGATATTAACATAAAATACTAGGTTTTCTTGCTTCTGTTTTAGCAGTTTAAGATATACAAAGCTAGTATTACTCTTAAAAAAATTTTAGCAATGAATTAATTGTATATAATTATAGACATTGCAAGGATAAATATATTTTTTAGAATTTTTATATTGTAAAACTTTAATTCTTGAACCAACTTTTATATTAGTAACTTTATATCATCACATATTATCAGAGTAAGCTTTCTATAATATAATAAAAAGATATCTATATTTCTTACAAGCTCATGATTATGCTGATTTTTGACCTTCATTATGTAGATTAGATTATCATTCTTCTGATGATAAGCATTAATATAAAACTTGTAATCACAAGTATTATAGTCTGTATTATAACTTTTATTAATATAGACTTCTTTTCTTAGTATATATAGCTAACTTCTTGTGCAAGCTTAAGTACATTATTAAGATAAACTATTACCTTTATCCTTGTTACTATGTATTATTGTGAATGCAAACTCTTGTTCTAACCTATGTAATTTTAACTATCTTTTAGTAAAAAAAGCTTTAATTTTCTTATTATAACTAAAGTGTCTTAGTAATAATATATAACTTCATACTTAACTACTACTTATTTATTAATTTCTTTCTAGCTTTTAAAAACTATTTCAACTGTAACTAGATATAATGACTTATTCTCAGCTTTAGTTTTATTTCATATTTAATACTATTTTTAAAAACAGATTAGTCAAGATCATAAACAACTTTATAGGAATAGTTATAGACAACAGAATATTTATAGATAATAGAATAGTTAAGAACAACAGAATGATTAAAGACAACAGAATGGTTATAAATAACAAAATAGTCATGAACAGAATAATTGTGGATAATAGAATAGTTGTGAGTGACAGAATGGTTATAGGCAACAGAATAGCTATAGACAACAGAATGGTCATAGGCAACAGAATAGTCAGCACTATGAAGATTACTATGAAAGTTACTACAAGCAAAAGACTTTTCAACACTATAAAGGTCATTGCAAATAGAAAATTTCTTAATACTATTAAGGTTACTACAAACTGAAAGTTCCTTAGTACCATAAGGGTAACTACAAATAAAAGACTTCTTAGCACTATGAAGGTCACTGCAAACAGAAAATTCCTTGATACTATTAAAGTTACTACAAACAGAAAGTTTCTTAGTATCACAAAAGTAACTGTAAATAAAAGACTTCTTAGTACTATAAAGGTTATTGCAAACAGAAACTCCTCAGTATCACAAGAGTAACTATAAACAAAAGATTCTTCAGCACCACAAAGATAACTATAAACAAAAGATTCTTACATACTATAAGAGTTACTACAAGAGGCTAATTCTTCTTAAAAAAAATCTGCAAAGGAAAAATTCATTAAAAGAAAATTCTTAGCTTATATCTGTGTTACTTGTATTACCTTCACTATGTATTACTATATCATTATCATTATCATTATTATTAAAAAAAAAAAAAAGCATTACAGTAAATACATACTTATGCAACTCGTATATAAAGGTTGAAACTAAAATATTCCAAAATTCATGTGATAAACCTGAATTAAAAAACTGATTTCAACCTTTACTCATATGCATACAAATCAAAATAGTATAATTTTTAAAAACCTGTTTGATTAGCTCAGTCTATTATTTATTCATGTGATGTAGTGTTGAACACCATAGGTGTGATTTATATATTTCATTATAAAATATAAAGTATTTAATAAAATTGAAGTTTGTAAAGAAAATATTATTCTTAAGTTTTTTTTGGTTTTTTTAAAGATTTCATAAGCAGATTTTTATTCATATTGTTTTTGGTTTCTATTTTTTCAAATTTTGTTATTAAACTAGAGAAATAAAAGATTAGAAAGTTTTATAAAGAAGTTATTAAGTATTAAATTAGTTTGAAAAATATAATAAGTTAAAAGTACAGTATATGTTAATTTAATATTGTTTGGTTAAAACTTTCGCTTCATCAATCGAATATGAATAATTAATAAATATATAATAAATATCGATATCTAGTGTTTCTTGACTACGCAGATATTCACTCACATACCTACTGAGACTTGTGAACAATAAACAGATACCAGTGGATTGGTAACACTAACCTGGCTTGGTGTTTCAATAATTTGTTGTATTCACAAATCTGAATTACTGTATTATAAACTAATTCGGTCATTTCTATTCCAATAAAATTATTCTCAAATAGAAATGTTTCAAGTCAGAGAATTAGATTCGAAAATTATCGTTATACGTACGAGGTGATCATGCTTTATTATTTAGGGGGTCGTTTAAAGCGCGGTGCATTTACATATTGATCTACATTTGCATAAGTTCTATTCTTGATATCTATATAT